AATTTCTTAATATATAATTTCTTGTCAAAAAATTTATTCCCCCTGCGTTCAACAATTGAAGACTGTTAAAATTCTTCGAGCAATGCTCGCTGATTAAGCTGTACTTATTTTGCAATTTCACGTTTTCAGGTAAACGGCGAGCTGCCCGGTTTCGCAATTTTTGGCTGCATATCACCGACGGTCATCTGAAAACTCGTAATGCTCCGCACGAGACTGCAAATGCCGGATAATAATAAAGAGAATTATACGTGTCGGCATTCCCTCAAAAACTTGTTTCTTTTAAAAATAATTTCTTAATCCCTTCCTGTGTCACAAATAGGATAAAATATGTATTACATGAATTTAAAACGTGTAAACATTGAAATATGTGTTCAGTTATTGATGTTCTATTATATGTATATGTACATATGTGTTGTACTTTGTAGTTGCCATTTGGCAACGTGCCACGTTTTCGCGTGACAAATCGTTTGAAAAATGCGAAAAGCTCGAGTAGGTTGCAAGCAGCCGCGTTGAACGGACACGATCGCGGGCCTCGACAAACACGGTACCGGTTCTGTAACGAGAGGACGCAATAGGATAATACTTTTCCGTTTATCAAGATTTAAGCGTTTGACGTTGCCTACTGTGGCGTACGCGACGCTTTAAAACGAATGGAACGGGTTATTCTGGAAAATGCCGTTCTCCGGGAATATTTTCTGTCAAAGGAACTTCGCATTCATCAGGCAAGAATGGGACCTTCAATTCATCAAGCCACGAAAAGGAAGTGTTAGCTTAATTATTTAAAAGTATGCAGAGTGAAAAACTATTATTTCTTTTGACATTTCGTATCCATCTAAATAAATTAATTTATTAACCTTCATACAACCTTGACAATAGAACCGACGGTTTTTTATAAGAGGTTGTCAAGGAATAATCGTATGAACTGCATAATTTGATCATTCTAATAGATTCGATGTATGATCTTGAATAATCATTGTTAGATTATGAGTACTGATTGAAATCATGAAATGAAACTTGGTCATTAAAATTGACTCAGATTCGTGACCCCATATTGAACTCCTACCTACATTAATAATTAAAGCACAATGAAAATTAAAAAAATAATAAGAAATTACGTGGACTTGAATTTATTCGAAGCTCCACGTGGAGATCCTCAAGGGTTAATCGAACGATTTGCATAGAGAAACGGAAGCGAGTAACTCGATAGGAGCTTCTCGATCGGGTCACGTTCTTTTAGTAGGGCATCATTGTTCCTTTAAGGAGAAAGCCGCAGGGGAGAGTCTCGTAGATCTTCTGTCGTCGACTTTCCTCGTCGAATACGCATGTTTGTATAAGTCGACACGTGTGGCCTAAAAGAGAAACTGGCATGCGCGTATTCACCGATACCAGGGTCGCGACCCTGATCGTCTAGATTTACCTTGGCGCTCTACCGTTCGCCCGATTCGGTAGCCGCATATCGCTTCCACACGTAGACGGTACTGTGCACGTACTTTAAGGACGTACAAGCTATATACTTAAACGATTTATTATTATAAATTTCTGTTACTATTAAAAAGCGACCTGTATAATTTTAAATCAATTCATAGGTTTTTTGAAAAATTATACTGACTTAAAATTTGCATGCATTCTAGTGTAATCACTTTTCTCGTAGGTATAGTAGTACCTACAACTTTTATTTAAAGTGTTTTTCGAAATTTTGACAAAAAAAATTTTATTTTTTTTAGATTTTT